GTGTGGAGTGTTATATATTAGGTTATTAAGGAAATGCACTATGTTGAGTTTTTGATTTCTTTGAGGGTCTCTGTGGAAGCTGGCCTTTGAGGATCTTCAACAGTACAAAGAAGTGATTTCAAGTGGGTTGTATTCATTTTTTAGTTTTTAATTTTTTGGACTATAAGACACTGGACACTTTTGGATATAGTGTGTATGATTATATGTGTTTGGATACTTATCATTTGAAAAGCACGTGTTAATATATTTTTTTGAATAGGGGATTTTTCCACTAGTGGTGGGTTGGATGATACTCTTTAGAGCCAATTTTTTGGTTTTAGGGGTTTGTTGGATGCCTAACCTAATCATTATGTGTGTGGTTGCAGAAAGAGTTAAAAAGGAAACACAGACGCACACAAATACTCATGAAAAAAAAGTTGTAATCTTCTTTAAGAGGAATTCAGGGCACTGAGTGAAAGCATTCAGTGAGCTACTAATGCTTTTCAGAAAACATAACAACTAAACCAGTAAATTCTCCCAATCTAGTTTAATCTGAATTCTGAGTATTCTCCTGCAGAATATAGAGGAGGAGAGTAGGAATGTACTTCTCAATGTCTGTGCTCTGTAACTCCTTCCTGCATCACTAACTGCATTCAAACTTTTACCGGTGGTATAAGAAACTTCTTAGTGAAGTAATTTTTTTTAATATCAAGCTTTCTGTGCAAGACAATGAGAAGGGCGCACCATCGGGTGTGTGTCAAGATCACCAGATTACAGAGAATAGACAGTGGGAAGGACTGGTGAAGTACAGCAGTGCCCAGATGAAAAAGAATGACTCGTTAGGTGGGCTGTGCTTCCCATGTGGCCTCCTAAGGCTTAATCTTAAAGCAGAACTATACTCACCTCTAGTCCAGTGGTGCACTGTTCATGAGTTCCTTTGCCAGCGCTGACATCTTCTATACAGCGTCTTCCAAGATTGACATCTTCAGCCATCTGGATTGGCTGGCCCAGGATGATGTAACTCCTGCACATGGTAGCCCATACATCCCAGCACCTGGAACTCAGAAGAAGAATGCCACAAGGAAGAAGATACTCTTGGTTGGGTGTGTAGTTACACTCGGTATAAAGGTTTGTCACACTTGAGGTTATAGTTAAGACGTTTATTGAAGTTGACAGTTCACAGGTGATAAGTACAGCCAATGTATTTCGAGGTAAGTGAATCCCCTTTCTTCAGGGCTAGTAAATAGGGAAACATTAAAAACAACTGCTAAGTATTATTATAAGTACCCCAAGAGGAGAAATTCAGTGGTAAATCACTCAATGAAACAATAGATACATATGAAAGATAGGTAAGGTAAAGTAAATGGATATAATAAAATAGAATACATGTATAGAAGGACACAAATGTATGAGATCAAACTCAGAAAATCATAAACTATGATCTAAACTTTGCTTAGGCAACAGATCATCTCAACAATGGTCTTATAACATTCCTTGTACAAGGATACTGATCAGTTGTGTATCAATAACAGTAAATACATACAGCAGGGGTGCTCAACCTTTTGAAGAGTGAGAGCCACTTAGGTGATTTGGTAACTGATCGCAGGCCACAATGAAATGGTTCCGAATTCTGAATAGCATAAAGAACACTTTCCACTTGTAGCCTCTGAATGCAAGAAGGAAGGAGAGGAGAAGAAGACGGATTTCAGCAGTTGCAGGAAGAAAATGGAGAGGATTGGTTTCTGTATGTGCGACCCCTACAGCCCCTCCTGTCCAAGTGTAAAACAGAATGTGACAAGGAGGCCACATGGGGCAGGGTCACCATTGCAACCCCTGATACTACACCAGTGGTTTGAGGGATGTGGTAAAAACATGTTTCAACTATGGGGTTTTACTGCCCCCCAATCACAAATGTAAACAAGCCCTTACTCTCCTGAGCCCCCTATAAGGCTACCTTTACACTGATGCCTTGTGGTTTACCCGCCCCACTGGTGCAGAGCACCTAAGGGTTTCCCATGCATTAGCTGCGCTTTACCATAGACTTCTATTATATCTTGTGGGTGTGGTGCACTTTCTGAAAATGCACCACAACTCCTGCATTCAGTTTTTGTTGTGCTTTCAAAAAGTGCACCAATCCTGCAGGATAAAATAGAAGTGCTCTTCCCTTGTTTGAGGTCGAGGACCACATTAAAGGGCTCTAATGGCTGCATGTGGCCCACGGGCCACAGTTTGAGCACCCCTGTCATACAGTATATAAAACAGTCCAATTGTAGGAGTCAATAACACCGTGACGTCACGCCACTGGAGCAACGTGGAGCTCCGGCGGCCATCTTTTCGCCAGGACAGTTAGTCCAAGTTACATTGATATTTGCATTTCCACCTGGATACCTGTTACCTTCTGGATGTTTTATGCTCAATAAACTACCTTCTGTACTACACTATGGAGTTTTCTCTGCTTTAAACTCCCCCAAGGAGGATTACTTTACAGATTCGCAGGAAGAACTCGCAGTAGGATTTCCATACACCTGGTGAGCTGACCTGTCCATCCCTTAAAGGGACCCCGGTTACCTTTCCATCACACACCAGAGGCTACAGGATCCAGGCACACTCAGTGAGGGATTCTACTTCATTCCTGACCAGACCTTCAGTGACAGCAGGATTCTTACATACAAATGCGCATTTTATTATGCGCTCTGGTGAGTGCGCATTCTTCTTATTTTTGACTGCACAACTTCCAGTTGAATACAGGATTCATGTTTTATGACACCAACTATCATACGAACTATTTTATACAGAGATTGCATTTTATTGGTCTCGTTTGTCTATATATATTTTAGCGCTGCATATAATACAATTTGTCTGTTTAAGGTTTTTACTGGTTACCTGAGTGCTTAGCAGCTTTTAGTGCGCTCTCAACTATATATTATCAGTATATAAAACAGTGACTGTTAATTTTAGTTAAATCCAGTGAAATTTGAAAATGACAGTTACATGAATAATAAAGATAATGAAAGTGGAATTAAACACTCCTATCCTTTACAGTGAAGGAAGCTGTCATTTTAGCCTCTGCTTGATATGCAGCTGCCATGGTACTGAACATGTGATCATCTATGACACAAGCCATTTGTTGGTTTGACAGTTTGGTTGAGAGCTAACAAAAAATTACACTAATAAATATAACAGTTATAATTTATGGTATGCCTTGATTTTATCTGATTTGGGAAAAAGTTAAATTGGTGGGTTTAACAGAGAAGTGTGGGCAAAGCTATTTTGGCTATGTTTCTCCTGTAGGTCACTTTGTTTTGCACTCCTGTGACCCATTTTCAGCCGATAGCCTAAGCCAGCCCCTCTCTCTCCTTTCACAGCCCACCTTCCATACTTCTAACCCTCTAGCTATGAAGTGAAGGGCATCCCTAGTGATCAACAGTTTTGAGCATACAGGAAATTCTGGAGAGCGAAATTCCTGGAGACATCACTTCTCAAACAACATATTTGGCATATTAGCCTGTATATACTGAGTAGGAAATGTATTTGGACTACCAATAGTAATGATCACCATCAAGGGCTGGTAGTTCTTTCACATCTTCTGCAGTGTGTAGAAAGTTTAGACTGTCTGGGTCTATACACTCACTACCCCCATCTGCTGAACACTCCCAGAAGAGGAGCTGTGCTGGATAGATGACCGGGTGAGTCTGTGAAGAACACCATTGGAGATAGTGTGACTTTAGAAGCCCGAGGAGCTTTTTTATTCTTCAGGTGCTTGTGTGATACATATTTTTTGATGGTACTCATCCCCACTTCCTCATTTCTTGCCTAGGGAGGATGGTGTCCCCTTGGTCCTGCAACCTTCTGGGATTATCTCACGCATTCCTAGGAGCCTGCTGGACCAGATCTCCCTGCACTCCAGATCTTGCACATTCAGAGTGGTGGGGCTGACTGGGAGTGATGAAGAAGTCACACCTGTCTCCCAAATCCAATTCAGAGGAGAGGAATATCAGAACCATGAGAAAAATAGGCAGCATGGAATACAGTGCTGAACTTCATGGGCTTGTAAGTATGTGTTTTTGAAACGTCAGCACCTACCCTAGCTCAGTGATGTTCCTCTTTAGGGACAGAACTCTCAGAGACTGATCAAAGGTGCATGTTTCTACCTCTTTGGGTACTTTGTGCTTTGAAATTTCCATTAATACCGACTTGGATTCCTAGGATTTTGCTTTTGCCTGCTGTTTTGCTCTGAATTTCAGCTTGCTTCATGACCATACACTATCTAATCTTCAGTCTATCCATCTTAATGATTGTATGCAGCATGTGATTATACCTGTGATTATGCTTTAAAATCATTGCTCACTTGAAATCCCCTTCACTTCTTATGCGAGGGTAAACTGAACAACAGTGAAAAATAGGAGGAATAAAGTTTTTTTCTTTCAAACAAATGTCTGTTTTTAAGCCTTCCCATAGTCACATGCATGGTTTATGGGTAAAGGGTGCAAAGAGCCCCTAAGACCTTCCACAGATGCGGTGGCCAACTCTTTAGATTCCATGGGAACTGATAGTTGGCTTATTAGTACCATTTTTGAGCACCGGGCATGCCAAATAACATGGTCTCATCAGCATAAATAGCATGTAATTAATTGCACACAATTGCAGAATTGTGCAATTATGACCAATTATTCCCTACTAAATGCTAGCGAATAGATTATGCAATAGAGGATGATTTGCTCTGTTACGTATAAATTGATTACTACCTTCCAGTGACTGATTGCAATTTTAATAGTGTGATTAAAGTGTTATTAAACCCACAACAGTAAAATCAGTCTGTATATGCAGTAAAGCATGTTTTATACACTCACTATGGAACCTAAGGGGTTAATCCTCTGCATTGTGTAAAAATGCTATTTGACCCTGACTTCTCTGATCCTCCCCTTCTTCCAGTGTTCTCCTCTTATCTCCTGATAAGACATATCTCAGTTGGGAGAGTGTATGTGATCAGCACAGAGCCAATCATGAGTGTCCAGACAGAGGTCAGGGGTTCTGCATACTCCTAGAGCAGAAAGAAAACTTCTACAAGCTTTAACTAGTGCTCAGCTGGACACTGATAGAAGTCACAAGACTGCTCTAACTGCTGATGAGAAAAAGTATTTAGCAGTTTATATTTACTAAAATTATTGTATTTCCATGTAGTGTGTACTGTGGGATAGAGTGAATGCAGGGTCCAGGGTTTAGTAACACTTTAAGCTAATGAAATTTTTTGAAGATTTTGATAAATCAATACTGCATGTACTGTCATAAAATAAAAAAATGAGGATATTGCTGAGGAACAACATCTTAAAATAAAGTATGAGAAGATTATTATGGAAAATAGAAGTTTTCTATTTGCTTACCAATATCAGTAAAAATTCCTTTCAGAAAAAATCTCATTTTAATGCTGGACAAACTAAGCACTGTTGATCATTAGGAAGAATTTTAAAAGTTTTTATCCAACTCCCTTCATTTCTCCATTGATATATTTCAGGTATATATTGAGCTGTTTGCAATGTAAAGAGTTGGCATGTGCTCTAAGTGGCTGGTTCTCAAGTGGTCAATAAAAGCTACCCAGATGTGGTTAGATATTTACACTGCTCACAAAAATTAAAGGAACACTCTGAACACACATCAGATCTCAATGGGGAAAAATATCATGGATAGATATCTATACTGGTATGGACTGGGTAATGTGTTAGGAATGTAAGGATGCCCCATCGTTTGATGGAAATGAAAATTATCAACCTACAGAGCGCTGAATTCAAATACACTCCAAAAATAAAAGTGAAAAAATGATGCAGCAGGCTAGTCAACTCAAAATGGTACTCAGTAGTTTGTATGGCCCCCACGTGCTTGTATACATGCCTGACAACGTAGGGTCATGCTCCTAATGAGACCATGGATGGTGTCCTGTGGCATTTCCTCCCAGATCTGGAACAGGGCATCACTGAGCTCCTGGGCAACATCGGATGGACCAAACCAGACATTTCTTCCTTGTATACAAGCATACCTAATGAAGCAGGTTTGGTGGCGGTTAGACATTTCTGGTCTGGTCTGGTCTGCATTTGAGGGGACCATCTATGCCCAAATACGCATCTTCCCCCCAGCCCGCCAACCCATCCCCCATTGACTTCTCCATCACGTCCAACAATGCCACCATCAGGCCCACCCCGCAAGCCAGAGTACTTGGTGTCATTCTTGTTGGGAATGCAACAGCATGTACTATAATGTACTATATATAGTATTGTGTGTTAATATCACTTGACCAGTAGATGGCACTATACACTAAAGGTTACTAGTTGTGTATATCTGAAAACTTGTTTGTTCCTCTTCTCTCTCTATCATCTCTTCAGGAAGTAATGAGTCTGTTATACAGTCTGCTGAAATGTGCTCTGTATGTTTGTAACTTAAGCCACACAAGTAAAGTCTGAATTCTGCTATCACTACCAGTGTCTTCTATAACACATAACCAACAGGTTATGGGCCCAGCTCCAGACACTGAAAAAAAGGAAAACTACAAGCAAGTAAGTGCTGCATTTACAATCCTACCAATTCACTGAAAGATGGCAAGTGCTTCAGATATGAAGTTTACAATAGCAAAGCTCAACAACACCAACTACCAGCTATGGAAGTTTAAGCTTGAAATGCTGTTATCCAAAGATGACTTGTGGCAGGTACTAGATACACACAGACCCAATGACAACCCAGAAGAATGGGACAGAAAAAACAGGCAAGCAAAAGCAGTCATAAGCCTGTTAGTGGAGGATGATCAACTCATTCATATAAGGAAAGAAAGCACAGCTAAAGGTATGTGGACTGCGTTACAAAAACTGCATGAATGTGCAAACCTAAACAGTAAACTATATCTACTGCGCAAACTGTATAAGATGAGGCTGGAAAAAGGGCAGGAAATGGGTGAACATGTAAATGCTATGCTAGAAATTGTGGACCAGCTGGGTGCAATAGGTGAAGATTTAAAAAGCAACCATGTTCTGTCAATACTTCTGTGCAGCCTTCCAGAATCATACAGTGCCCTTATAAATGCTCTAGAAACTAGACCGGAAACTGAACTGACGCTAGAATATGTTAAGGGAAAATTAATTGATGAATACAGCAGAAGAAAGGAAAATTTGCATAGTGAAGAGAACGAGAGACCAGAGGCAGCTCTGAAGGTGCATGAAGGCATAAGACAAAGCAAAGAAACCAGGGTATGTTTTCGCTGCAAAAAGGCCGGTCACCTGAAAAAGAACTGTTCAATCTGGAAAGCTGAGCAGCGAAAGCGGGAGCTACCCACAAGAGAAAGAGCTAAAGCAGTCATGAAAGAAAATGAAAGTGCATCATGGAGTGGTACTTTTAAAGTGACTCAGAATAGTACCTCACATGGATGGTACATTGATTCAGGGGCAACAAGTCACATGACAAGCGACGAGACATTCTTCACAGAAATTGATTTTAGTGTGAAAGATAAAGTCTTCCTAGCAAATGGGAAAAGTATTACAGCGGAAGGTAAAGGTCAGGGATTTCTGAACTGCAAAACACCATCAGGGGGCAAGCAGAGCATCCTTGTAAAGAATGTTCTATATGTTCCAAGCCTAGAAGGAAGCCTCCTATCAGTTAAAACCCTTGCAAGCAATGGACTCACTGTCCAGTTCAGAGGTAATGAATGCACAATTCAAAATGGAAAGCAAATTCTAGCAAGAGGAAGATTAAATGAACATCTGTACAAACTCATCACTGAAAGCGAGAAGGCCAATGCGGCAACTCATAACCCACATGACAAGTGCATCCACCTGTGGCATAGAAGATTAGGGCATCGAAACCCAGAAGCTATAAAGGACTTTGCAAAGAGAGGTCTATCAGAAGACATGAAAATATTGCCTTGCCACACACTCAGCAAGTGCACGTGTTGCATCAAAGCAAAGGCCACCCGAACCCCTCTTCCACAGACCAGTCAGAGTAAAACCATTAAACCCATGGAACTGATACACAGTGATGTGTGCGGACCAATGAAAACCATCACACCTGGCGGGAACAGGTATTTACTGACTTTCATCGACGATTATTCCAGGTACACAATAATGTATCTAATGAAGCACAAAAGTGAGACATTAGAAAAATTTCAAGAGTTTGTAGCTATGACAAGCAACAAGTTTCAAAGGAAACCTGGAATAATACGCACTGACAATGGAGGGGAATATATGAATAAAGAGATGGAATCATACCTAAAGAAACAAGGTATTATACACCAAACAACCGTACCATACACTCCTGAGCAAAACGGTGTAGCGGAAAGAAAGAATCGCACTCTTGTAGAAATGACAAGATGTATGATTACGGACGCTGCCTTACCTAACAAATACTGGGGAGAAGCAATAATGACTGCAACATACCTACAAAACAGGCTCCCATCAAAAGCCATTGAGAGTACACCATATGAAATGTGCAATGGATCAAAACCTAACGTAGGACATATCAGAGTATTTGGCTGTAAAGCATATGCCCACATTCCAAGTCAGAAACGCTCCCAGTTGGGGAACAAAGCCATAGAAGGCATTCTGGTTGGCTACAGTGAGCAGAGTAAGGGATATAGAATCCTTTGTCCAAAGACCAACAAAGTCACAGTAAGCCACAGTGTTTATTTTGATGAAAGTGAAGCATCAGATAATACAATTTTTGAAAAATTTGGAGAGGATTTACACACTGAATCGGCAAGAGACACTGATTTATGCGAAGCAGGACAAGAGCCAGAACAAGAAGTGGAACTTACAATCAACGATCCTCCAATAGAACCCACTGAACAACAAGAAATCAGAAGATCCTCTCGAATGACAAAAGGGATACCACCCCGCAGGTTATCATACGCTGCTAAAACACATCAAACACAGGAGCCAACATCCTGGGAAGACATAGAAACTTTGCCGAGAAGGGAAGCCGATCAGAGGAGAAAAGCAGCTGAAGAAGAAATAAAATCACTTCAAGAAAATAAAACTTGGTCACTAACAGAACTCCCTCCCGGTCGCAAAACCATCGGAAACAAGTGACTGTTGCACTCTCTTCAACTGAAGCGGAATACATAGCAGCAGCACATGCATGTCAAGAAGCCATTTGGATTCGTCAACTTCTACTAGACATGGGACTGTATATGTCACAACCCACACCCATCTTTGAAGACAATCAGGGATGCATAAAGCTTACACACTCTGAGAAGATTAACCCAAGAACCAAGCACATTGATGTAAGATATCATCTGCTCAGAGACATGCAAGAACAAGGGGTTATCGACATCCAGTACTGCCCATCAGAGGAGATGACTGCAGACGCACTCACCAAACCTTTGCCAAAGGAACGTTATTGTTTTCTACAAAAGAGACTAAATGTCATATAATTATGCACATGCCGTTGAGAAGGGGTGTTGGGAATGCAACAGCATGTACTATAATGTACTATATATAGTATTGTGTGTTAATATCACTTGACCAGTAGATGGCACTATACACTAAAGGTTACTAGTTGTGTATATCTGAAAACTTGTTTGTTCCTCTTCTCTCTCTATCATCTCTTCAGGAAGTAATGAGTCTGTTATACAGTCTGCTGAAATGTGCTCTGTATGTTTGTAACTTAAGCCACACAAGTAAAGCCTGAATTCTGCTATCACTACCAGTGTCTTCCATAACACATAACCAACAATTCTTTTCTCCAATCTATCCTTCCAGCCCCAAGTCCAATCGCTAACAAACTCATCAGACTCCACCTCCGCAACATCTCCAAAATACGCCCATTCCTAACCCCAGAAACTACTAAGCAACTCACCCACTCCCTCATCATATCACGAATAGATTACTGCAACTCCCTCCTCACTGGCCTGCCTCACCACTCCATTTCCGCCACCCCCCCTCTGCCAATCCCTCCACTGGCTTCCGATTGCCCAATGGATCATATTCAAAATGCTAACACTGACGTACAAATCTGTCCATAACTCTGCCCCAAACTACATCACTGACCTAATATCCAAATACCACCCAAAACGCACTCTCCGCTCCTCACAAGACCTCCTTCTCTCTAGTTCCCTGGTCTCCTCCTCCCCCATGCCCACCTCCAGGACTTCTCCAGGGCATCACCCATCCTCTGGAACTCCCTACCCCAATCCATCAGACTATCACCTACTCTCCTCTCCTTTAGGCGCACCTTGAAACCCAC